GTTCATGATCTGAGATTTGGAAGCAGAGAGGCCATTTCCAACTCTAACGAAGGACACAATGGGGGTAGAGACATGACACATCTGCTGATCCTTGTGACTGTAGCTTTTGTCCTGTGGTGACTCACTGGATTCTTGCCAACTCCTCCTAATTTGTCTGAGAGACCAGAGAAAGAATTCGATTTGAGAAGTGTTAGGATTTGGCACCACAAGAGGGAGTGCATATTGACAAATAGAAAGTTTGGACAAAATATATTGCCTGGCAAGATCATCTGCACAGTGTAAAATGGCCATCTGGGTATCCATTGGGTGAATGTAGGGCTGTGACTTTTTGGCTAATGACTTCATGATATCATCACTGTCTTCAACGGACTCTTCATATGGATCAAAACCCTCATTTTTCTGACAGAAGGAACTTTTAAAGACATGGTCTTCTTCATCTTTGTAAGTCAGTTTTCTCAACCTGCAATCCAACATCAGTAGTTTTTGTAGAAAATAGTTAGGAAGTTGCTGTTCGGATCTTGGCTGGTACTTGTGTACCGATATCTTGTAGATCTGATGGAAGTCAGCTCTGCTCATCCTTTTTGGGTAGAAATGTTCTAGGCCTAGACGCTGGAGTAATTCCAGGAAAGATCCCACTTGTATCATTTCCTTTGCGTTAGTTTCATGATTTTTTTTGTTATAAGTCTGTTTCCTTTTAGGGTAGAGCCACTGCAACTGTTTTTTCATCTGCAAAGAAGCAGTGGTGGCTTTATAGTCCCCGTCATTGAGTCTACACTCCTGGGCACTAATGAATTGAGTTATATAAGTGGCAGCTTTTTTCAGAATGTTGACTGTGCTTAGTAGAAAACTCTGCAATTGCCAATCTGTGAGAAACATATAAATCCAAATGGCATAATTTTTAATTTTTTGACGCAGTATTTGTATGGAATCTATCAGTATTTTAAGTTTCCCCTCATAATCAGAAACCTCTTGGGATTTCATATTCTTTTGAAAAAGTCTAGTTTCTTGCCCAGTACTATACACATATTCCTCATCCTGTATCTGAGCAGAAAGGCCAGCCAGTGCAGTGTAGTTGTCTTTCAAACATTTAGCCATTTGAAGGGGATCCTTAAAATCACTTCTGTGGCTGTTGAGGATGATGTCCCAAATGGGCACCAAGTGAAGTCCCTTGTCAATGACAGACCAGGTTTTGTTGCTTGTGAGAAGGCCAGCTGTCCACTGGACAATTCCATTTGCTTCTGCTGGTCCACCTGTCTGGGCCACAGAGACCTGAACATTGATTTGGAGCTGTTGATTAGCTGCATTCTGGCAGGATCTCACTGAATATGAATCTGATGTTTTCATCCTTGCTCCAACATCCACCTCAAAGCCATTGTAGTGCCCCCTTATGTAACTGTCTAAGGCCTCTGCTGCCTGTTGCTTCACATGATCTAGCTGGTCCCTTTTGAAACCTTCTGAAATGGCCTTCCAGCAGTAGATTCCCCCAAGGTGCAAAGGACCTTGATTAGCATGAGAACCAAATCTGTTGAAGAATTCCTCAGTCCTGTTTCTCAGTGAGAGGAATTTGTCTGCTTCTTCAGTGTGTTCCAGCTGCTCTTCAATGATTTTCAACTCCTTGAGAGCAGCTGTGGAGAGCTGAAGCTGATCAATTCGAAAGTGGAAAGAGGCCAGGGGCACATAGCTATACTTTGCTGAACAGAAATAAGAATGTTCTGAGTTTGACTGGTGGGTGTCCTTCCATTCTGAATGTTTGCTTTGCTTGATACCAAATTCTGAACTAAATTCTGAGAGTCCACCCTTGGTTGGTCCAAATCCCAGCTTCTGGACAGCTTCAGTGAACATGGATTCTGCTTGAGAAGATGTGAATTCTTTTGCTTCCATCCTTTTTCCTTGTTCAGGTCCAAAGAGGAATAATTCCTTGGGGACCCTAAGAAGATCTTCTCTCCTTGCCACTAGGTCTTTTTGGTGGCAGGTCTTATAAATT